CTTGGCTGATTTCAAACAACGCCCCCAAGGGCTCGATCCAGCCTCTTTTTCTACAGCATGGAGTCCGGGTCTCCAGCCCCCTCCTCCCAGGACCCAGGCAGGAGTCGGGGCTCCCAGCGCTTTCACCCCCGGGACCTAGGATTCAGGATCAACAGCCCTTACCGCCCACCCCCACGCCCCCCCAACCCCGGGACTCAAGAGTCCAGAATCCCAGCCGCTCCGGGATCACAGCCCAGGAGTCTGGACTCTCCGCCCCCTCCAAACACCGGGTACCCTCACTCTCAGCTTGATGCTTCACCCCTGACTCTTTTTTTTTTTTTTTTTTTTGCTGTACGCGGGCCTCTCACTGTCGTGTCCTCTCCCGTTGCGGAGCACAGGCTCCGGACGCGCAGGCTCAGCGGCCATGGCCCACGGGCCCAGCCGCTCCGCGGCATGTGGGATCTTCCCGGACCGGGGCACGAACCCGTGTCCCCTGCATCGGCAGGCGGACTCTCAACCACTGCGCTACCAGGGAAGCCCACACCCCTCACTCTTGATGCTCCAGCTCCGTCCCTCAGAGCCTCAAGAGTCCGTCCCCCAGCCCCTCTTTTAGGGGCCGAGCGTGCCTCACCTCCCCGCCCCTCCATTACCTCGGGGATTCCGTGGTGCGGATTGTGGGGCCCCAGGGCCCCGGCCTCGGCGCTGCGCCAGCCTCGCTGTTTCCCCGCGGAGCCGCCGCCGGGTCCCCGATCTTGGGTCGGGTCCCCCCGCGACTTTTTAAACAGCTTCTGGCACCGCCCAGTCGTGGGGCGGGCCCCGCCCCCGCCCACAAGCCCGGGAGTCCCCGCGTTGCGCTCGAGCAAACTTGGTGTCTAAATGGGCGGGGCTGACTTTAAGAGCCCGACTCCTAAGTCTCCCCGGAAACAGGGATTGGGAACCCCGTGTTTGGTCTGAGGGAGAAGGGGCCTGAGGTAGCGGACTCCTGAAAGAGAAGGGAACTGGGGACCTGGACTTTTGTCCAGGGGGGTGTTGGAGGCCTTGACTCCCAGGCCCTGGGCTGGCCGACGGGCG